GCTGGTGAAGAGGGAGCGTGCACTCGGTTTAGCTTATCACTAATTGGTTGTTTACTATTAGAATATAGTGTGTATATATATATATATATCATTCCGTACTTTAAGAGCTTGTTTTTGAGAATTCCATCCTCGGTCATTAATTTAAGATTTGTATGAACATGTTTCAAAAATTATACTCTCTCTCTCTCTCTCTCTCTCTCTCTCTTGAGTCTATTTACATCTTCCACTTAAATGCAAATTCTTATAGTTCTTCATATTTTTGTTGATAGGGTTTAAGATTTGTATGAACATGTTTCAAAAATTATACTTTCTCTCTCTCTCTCTCCTGAGTCTATTTACATCTTCCACTTAAATGTAAATTCTTCTAGTTCTTCATATTTTTGTTGATAGGGTTTAAGATTTGTATGAACATGTTTCAAAAATTATACTTTCTCTCTCTCTCCCTCTCTCTCTCTCTCCTCTCTCTGAGTCTATTTACATCTTCCACTTAAATGTAAATTCTTCTAGTTCTTCATATTTTTGTTAATAGGGTCCGAGCCAATGGATATCTCTACCGCTTCAACTTCTCGAGCTTGTGAAATTCCTAGTTCTGATGTGATCATTCTAGAAGGACATACTTCTGAGGTTTGGGCATGTTCATCCATTTGTTTTAGTTCATTTTTCTGTGTGTCCTCTGCAGTAATATATGCCCATTTCCCATTCTTCCTTGTAGGTTTGTGCTTGTGCATAGATCTGTTTGCCACAGATCTGTTCTTTTCTTCCTTCGTCTCCCTCTAGTTTGCATCTGCTCTGCCTTTCTTTCTTTCTTTTTTTTTTTTTTGGAATGAAATTTCCCCCAAAACGACGTCGTTTTGGGGGTGCCGCAGGATGCACCGCAGGAATGGGCGGTCGAGGATCCGGACTGTAGGAGCGTTCAGATCTTCTAGAGTGATCCTGTGAAGTGATCCTCTAGAGTGATTTTTTATGGCGTGACACGTGTCCTATTAGTGGAATCAATGGCTGAGATGATCCCTCTTCAAAACGACGTCATTTTGGTATTTTATTTTTTATTTTTTTGCAGATCGGGAGGGAGAAAGGAAGGAATGGGTTAGAGAGAGAATCTCCTGATCTCTAGAACCGTGAAATCAATCTCCTCCGTCTTTTTCTCTGCAATTTTTTTGCAGAGTTTGATGCACGCCGTTTGAATCTATTCTTCAAGAAGCTTCAAGGACATATAGAGATTTTACAAAGATGATCAAACCCATTAACCTAACATAGCAAAAAAAAAAAAAAACGAAGATCGATTTCGAAGATTGAAATTGAAATAAAAATTCAAACTCATTATTCACCCAAAAAATAAAAAGTAAAAAACAAATTGAAAAATGAAATAGGATGGATTTGCAGAGAAACCCACATGAACCCAACATAGCAAAAAAACGAAGATCGATTTCGAAGCTTAAAATTGAAATAAAAATTTGAACTCATGAAGACCCAAATGAATTCCCTCTGTTAAAGCTATCACACTTCACTGTCTGATGAAGACCCAAATGACCAACAACAGGGTTTGAAGCCCAAATTGAGATCTGGGTCTGGGTTTGGTTCTTCAGTTTCAAAATTGTGTAATTCATCTGCTGGAAACTCGTTCACCATGTTTGCTGAGATCCTTCATTAAATCTTGTAAACTGACCATAACCCCGACGCATTCAATGAAAGATTGAATCCAGAATCTTAGAACAAAACACGGTTCTAGAGAGAATGAGGAGATTCTCTCTCTAACCCATTCCTTCCTCCCTCTCGATCTGTAAAAAAAAAATAAAAAATATATATATATATATATATCACCAAAACGACGTCGTTTTGGAGAGGGATCATCTCAGCCATTGATTCCATTAATGGGACACGTGTCGCGCCATAAAAAATCACTCTAGAGGATCACTTCACAGGATCACTCTAGAGGATCCGGACGCGGTGTAGGATGGATGATGGGTTCATGCTTTTAATTTTTGGGGATGAAAAATATGTGATTTTTAATAAATAAAGTACAATACTGATTTTCATCAACATATCAAAATAATAATAATAATAATAAATTAAATAATATCACTATTACATGGATCATTTTTTACTAACATCAATATATATATATATATATTAGCTAAATAGTTTTTATTAATATAATTGAGTATAAAAATATAATCATAGAATTGAATATAATATAATTCATCGTGATTTTTTTATAAGTAATTCACTTACAAGAATTATAATAATCCATATAAAAGCCAATCTTTTTTTCTCTAATAAAATTTCACTGCTTTAAGACGAAAAACAAATAATAAAATCACCTTGTTGGTTCCAATTTTCTGAATTTAATTTTCTAAAAGTTGATTTTTTTTTTTTTAAGGAAGTGAGTATAATTTATTCAAAAATAAAATCATACACATTGTAATTTCACTAGACACACAATAAGTCTTCTTTGAGCATTTTAAGGGTGTGTTTGGGAAGAAAAAAAGATGGTCAAAAAGATTTTTAAAAAATTACATAAAAAAGTTTTAAAAAATCATATAAAAAAGTTAAAGGATTCATCTCATTCTCTCTATTTTTTGTATTTTTATTTATTTTTTGTTGCGGAAAGTCAAAAAATTATTTCTAAATATTTTAATTTTTTTTACCTCATATTTTAATTAAAATATCAAAAAATTATTAAAAAAATCACTTCCCAAATCACTCTTAAACCATGATTAAATTCAACTGGGATCATCTGTTTGAAAGATGGTACGTTTTAAAAAAATAAATACACAAAATATGAAAAATATACTAAATTCTCGTATTTTTTTGTATTTTAAATATTTAGTGAATTTTTTAAAGATATTTTTCACAAATATTATACTTTTTAAATGTATTTATATTAAGTATATCTAAAATTTAAACAAAATTGCTTAGAATAAAAATATGTTTTAAAAAAAAAACACACACACGCACACAAAAAAAAATTAATTTTCTGAAAAGTGAAATCTCAAAATTCAAATCAAACAAACTAATTATTCTTTTTCTTTTTCTAGGAGTATGCATTCAATAAATAGAACGAGATTACACCTTCCACATCCTTTCTCTCCTCCCATCATCAACTGGATTGCCCTATAATTGTTTTTTCCTTGCCGAATCTTTCACCATCGCTAATTAAAGTTCAGGTTGGATTATGACTTCGTTTGAAGAGGGGATTGTTTTTTTGGCTTTGAAGGTGGTGACGATCTAGATAAATAGGGATCCGATGAACTTTACACATAGGATTGGTTTGGTCACTCGGTGGTTTGAATTTTGTATATATAAATAATAATAATAATAATAATATTAACAATCACATCCTAAGAATGTTTATATTCAATCATATTCTAATGCATATCATAAAAGGAAAATTATCAAATATTATGGGAACCCCAATCTTACCAGTCTCTGCAATTTGTGGATTATAATCTTTGACCCTCTATACTCTTTTGACAACTAGGTTAAAAGCCAAGACCTCGTTTGTCAACTATATATTTTAATAAAAAAGTCACTATAAGTTGTCACATCACTCTTTATACTTTTTTGCACATTTTTTGTAAAAAATCAAAAAGTTACTAAAATAGCGTATTCCCAAACAAGGCCTTATTATCTTTTTTTTATCACATCACATCTCTATTTTTTTGCACATCTTTCATAAAAAGACAAAAGGTGTACTTATTTAGGTCATTTCAAACAACCCTTAGAATAGTTTAGTTAAGTTTGTTGGACTCATTTTTGGATTTTTTTTGATAATTTAAATTATTAACATTTTAAAGTTTATTGAATACATTATCCCTGTAAAAATCACGTCAATCGGATAACGGATATACTATGTATTCGGATCACTTTTGTTTTGAAAAAATAGACGGTCAGAAAATTAACGGTTCATAAAAAAGTGATCCAAATATATAATATCCGCTATCCGATCGATGTAATTTTTTATAAAAATAATGTACTCAATAAACTCTAAAATGTGAACAGCTCAAATTATCTAAAAAGAACTCAAAAGTAAACTCAATGGGCCAAACTGAACCCCCCAATCTGAATAGTACATTGGAAGCAAGCCACTGCCGAATGGGAATGTCTCCATCCATGTCCTCATTGCTACGATAGATTTTTACTCTTGAGAAAGAAATGAGTAGATAACATGTATAAGTTTTAGGTGTTGTTGGGTTCAATTGATATATGGTGTTTTTAATTTTTTATTTTGAAAGTATGTATCGAATTGTTTTGTACACCTTTTAAATTCGGTTTCTTATTAGATAGAGATAGTTAAATGTAAGTTTAAAAAAAATTGATTATTACTATTTAATTATCAAACTTTCAATTAATAAAAAGTTATACCAAACAAGCCGTTTGTTTTGTTGAATACTATTTCATGATTGGAATTTGGAAAAAAAAAATTTCCCATTTTTCTTTCCTCTCAATTTTAAAAATAGGGCTGCAATATATTGGCTCTGATATTTCATTTAAATTCTTTTCCTTTTTTGTGACTATTTGGCCATGTTTAGATGCAGTTTATAACTTTTTTCTATTTTAGAATTATGTTTATATTTGATATAACTTTTGCTTAGAGTTTGTGAAACAAAAATCTTAAATAAATTTTAATTATTCAAAAAGGAGAGAATGCTGTTTTTACTTTTGATTATCAATTTTCAACAAAATAAGTCTGTTGTATGTTTTGTTTATGATGAATTTATAATGTACATGAAACATTTATTATATATAATTAGATTGTCTTTTAATTTTAAATTTGTATGGTATAAATAAAAAAGAAAAATAAATTATAATTATTTTTATCATAAATTTCATATTTTTATTTCTTCTACAAAATTTTGTCACAAATCAAACATCCAACTACAATAATAACTGATAATATAAAATGATGATGAAATACATGGCATGTGTCATTTTTCTTGTAAAAATTATAATTAGAAGAGTGGAACTTGTCTCCAATCCACGATGTGGACTGGATGGTGTTATTGGGCCCATGAGGGTCCATTATAAGTTCTGTTTCGATAATCTGAACCGTTTAATATGTAAAACTCGTTGACTACTTTGTTTCTGTAAAACAATCACATTGATTGAATATCAATAGTTACTTGATCGAATCAGATTTTTGTCAACAAATTAATTTTGAAAATTATATTTACCGTTGACAAAAATCTGATCCAATCAAGTAGCTATCGATATCAGATTAATGTGATTGTTTATTAGGACAAACTATTCGACAAGTTCTACACATGAAACGGTTCGGATCATCGAAATGAGACCCATGGTAAGCCCTCATGGGCCAACAACACGCTCTAGTCCAATTACAGACTGGAGAGAAGTCTGGCCCTAATTAGAATATCTAAGTCAATACTCTCTCATATCTTGTTTAATTATCAATCAATTATATCACTTACATATCATTAGATCTAGATAATGAGTGTGGAAAGTGGGCTTGTATATCATTTTCTAATTAGTTTATAGTTTCAAAACTTCAATAAGAAATTAGAGAATTGATAATGATGGGGGAGATTAAGAATATCTATATCTATATATATGAATGATGCTATATGCACCAATTGCCAACATGATGGTATTTATTAGTTAATTAATGTTATTGTATATTGTATTTAGTTTTTTTTTTTTTTTCACATTACACTTAGGATATAAATTTAATTATAATTCAATACACTTACTAGATAAATTAAATTGTTAGATACCTGCAATGACCACATTTTCTTGACTTTGAAAACTTATCATTTGCAACAGAACGATTTCCCTTCGTCTTTGTAAAGGGAGGATCACCAACACCAAAATGTAAACATGTCCCTTCAACATTGGTTTTTCCTTTTGTTCCATTTCCTTCAACATGTTGGACATACAAATCTTTCATTCGACATGTTAACTTTGTCACTGCATCTCTAGCTTCTTCCTACTTACTACTTTATCAAACTTGACTTATCAATCATTTAAATAACACTTACTACTTAATAAGACTCTATTTATTATTTTATCAGACTTAACTCATTTAAACCACACTTACTACTTAATGTTTGGATGGTAAGTATAGTTATGTGGAATAGTAAGTACAACAATATCAAGGAGTAAGTGTGTTTAGTTGTTGTAGTAAGTTGAAAATCACTCATTTAAACCATACTTACTATTTTATCAGACTTACTTACCACTCATTTAAACCACATTTACTACTCAATGAGACTCTGTGTATACATAGACAAATAGTATACGTGAATATCTTCTATATCAGTTTTTCCTGACATAAATAACACTTGCTCAGATTTTATTTGTTCGCAAAATTTGAAAAATATGGCACGAGTAAATATATCAGCTGCATGTCTTTCAATCCTTTTCATACCTGTAGAAAGAATAGGAGTGGTATTCTCAGTTTCGGATTGTGCCTTAGCTTCGTTATGGCGAAGTCTTGCAAGTGCTCTATCATATGCCCTTACAAATTCAAAGAGCCTTAGGCGCACCTTTAGGAATCGATTCAAAAATGCATTCATACTCTCACAACGTTGCGTGCTTTTTGCACCAGCAAAGAAATGTCCATGGAGGTATCCTTCAGCCCATAAAGTACGCTTGCAATATACATCTGCAATCCACTTGTTATTATGAAGGCCATACTTGTCTACAAGGTTCTTCCACTCTAATTCAAACATTTCTTGTGTACATTGCATTGACATGCATTTTTCAAAGCTATGAAGAAATCCCTCTATGTGGATATTGGAAAGAGCATTCATTTTAAAATGCCATTTACATAATCGATGTCGAGCAGTAGGCATAACTGTTTTGATTGCTCTACACATGGCCTTATCCCCGTCAGTGATTACGGACAGAGGCATCTTGTGATCCATCGCATCAAGAAATTTCTCTAACACCCATATGTATGTCTCTACTGTCTCGAAAGCTAACAGTGCACACCCAAAAACAGTCGTTGAAAGTGGTTGCTCACACCTTGTAGTATCACAAAAGGTTTGTTGTACGCATTTGTCCGATACGTAGTATCAAACATCAACACATCACCAAAATACAGATAATCTGTTCGAGATCCACCATCAGTCCAAAACAAATTATTTAATCGATTTTCTTCATCTACATCATATTTATAATAAAACATTGGATCTTGCTCTTCTTTACCACAAAAGTAAGCCAAAGCACCTTTTGTGTCACCATCGACAACTTGCACTCTACGCTCAGTCCCAAAATGGTTGTACATGTCCTTCTGTATGAACCCAACATTCTCATAACCACCTGCTTGTTGTGCAGCAAAGTCCATAATGTGACTTGTCCTCATACCAACATGATGCATTGCATTGCCTTGTGCCTTGTCGGCACTCGTAACATTCCGGTGTGAGCGAAGAAATTGAACACCAAGAGGCCCTATCATGGAATGATTGTGCTCCTTGAAAAATTCATTCACTTCATATTTGGAAGTACTCCGATTGTATTTGATACGAAAACAAGCACGACAACCAACTCTAGTTAATTGTTTTGGTTCTCTTTTACGTTCTTCAACCTCAAGGTATTTGGATTGTCTATATCCTTCTTTTGAACATACCCAACTCCTTGATATAACCATATTATTCTTGTCCTTATACAATTGATCCCTTCGAATACTAAAACCTTTCACCTTAGCATACGAATTATAAAATCTTTCTCCGTTTTCTTCTGAATCAAATGTCATTTCAAACACATCATTTTCAGTTAATTCATCTAGACGCTTAATATCTCTTTCAGTTGGAATATTATTAGAATTGACGATATCATCTTCATTATGAATATTATACTCACCATCATTACCGTCATCATCAACTAGTTCATATATAATGTTATTCTTGTGTTGCTCAGTGTTGTCTTCCATCTGCAATAAGCATAAACAAATTAATTAAGAAAAAGCAAGTAGAAAATGGTAAGTAAAATACTAGGTGGTAAAATAGATGGTAAGTGGTAAGTTGAGTCACAAAGAGTTGCTAGTAGAATGAGAAGGAATGGCAAGTGTTGTGTTTTTGAATGATAATTAAACTCATTTAAACCACACTTACTACTCAATGAGACTCTACTTACTACTTTATCAAACTTGACTTATCAACTATCCTCCATTTAAACCACACTACTAGTCATAGCATACTTTACTATTTTCAATTCCCCCTTTTTTTTTTTCAAATCATCAAGACTTGACAATCGCCCACTCATTTAAAAACCATACTTACTAACTTATAGACTTGACTTTAACCACTCATTGAATCACATTTAACTATTCCAATGAGATCTCTACTTAACTCACTTTATCAAACCTTGACATTATCAGCTCATTATAAAACAACGCTTACTCACTTTAAATAAGACTTTATCTTATTATTTTACAGACTCAACTGCATTTAAAACCACACTTACTCACATCAATCGGTGAGATTACTTACTACTTTCATTCGAATTACACTTACAACTCATGGGACCTTCTATTACTACTTTAACAAACTTGACTTCATCCCAGGATTTAAACACACTACTAGTCAATGTTAAGACTTAACTTCTATGTATTTCATCAACTTGACCTCCCACTTACATTTAAACCATACTGTACTAAACATTATTAGACTTGACATTACCGCTTCATTTGGAATCATCACTTTACTATTTTCAATTGAGACTCTATTTTACTACATTATCAAAACTTGACTTATCAGTCATTTAAACAAACACCTACTACTTAATAAAGACTTTACTGTAATTATTTAAATCAGACTTAACTCATTTAAAAACTACGAACTT